CTAGCTCCATTTTACGCATCTCCAGCTTGTCTTGCCTGATTTGTGCCCGCTCTTCCGCCTCCATTTGGAGTCGTGTCGAGCGGACATCGATCCTGGCATCACTGTCAGTCAGTGGGGAGAGTGGGTCATAACGGGGCAATGTGGCTGGAGCCTTAGCCTCGTCCTCAGACACTGATGGGCTTACAGGAGCAGCAACCACATCCCCTACAGGAGCAGCAGGGTCAGGCGGCGGTAATTCAAGCACTCGCTCGTTCAATAATATCGCTAACACTACTTCCCTAACTTCTGCTTTCACTAAACCCCTCGGTATGGGTACAGAAAAGTGGTCAGCCAAAACCTGTAGATCCACTCTACGGCAATTCTCAAAAATCTCCCACGTAGGGTTTTCCAAAAATGCATCCAACTCAAAAGTAGCCATCCTAAACTAGCAACACGAGCCGTCGACTACTGAACACACAAAAAAAACTGGTAGTTACAGCTGCCAAGCTCAACACTGAACCAGACACTAACTAATTTGCATGAGTATCAATGAGATAGATCCCGGACGAACCCCCACTTTATGTTACGAACCCCGTGGCTTTAAACGTCTAGGGTGATGGACATGAGACCCGTAACATAATTCATGCAAATTATAAGTGTGACATGGAACAGTGAGAACGAAACACTACACGACAACCATAAACTACCGTCAAACATAAAAGGTTTATTGCTGAACACACGGTAAAGGTTTTGGGAAAAAGGGCTGAGCAGGACCCAAGAAATGAAACAATAGTGTAAAACACCCCTAAACTGATCTTGCCTGCCTCAAGAACCGCTAAGCTACTGCTAGTCATACAAAAGTACAGTGGGTGGTCCTGTCACACCCTGGCTATGGGACTCTAGTTGTTGAGCCAGGGTGTGTTTGTTCTATGTGGTGTGTTTCTATGTTGGGGGTTCTAGTTCGTCTATTTCTATGTTTTGCCTGAGTGACTCCCAATCAGAGGCAACGAGTGTCAGCTGTTGGCTGGTTGTCTCTGATTGGGAGCCATATTTAAACTGTCTGTTTTCCCTTTGTGTTTGTGGGTTTTTGTTCCGTGTCGGTCTTTGTTACCGTGGACTTCACGAGTCGTTTCTTGTTTTGTTCGTGCTTTAATTAAATAAAGTAAACATGTTCGTTCAACACGCTGCGCATTGGTCTCTCCCTGACGATCGTGACAGAAAAACCCACCAAAACTGGACCAAGCAGCGTGAAGAGGAGAGAGGAAGGACTTGGGATCGATGGAGTAGGGGTCTCGACTGGGCTAAGCCGAGTGAAGAGCAGAGAGGGTGGACTTGGGAACAGTGGAGGAAGAGTCTCGACTGGGTCAAGCCTAATGAAGAGCAGAATGGCTGGAGTTGGAGGCAGAAGAGCGAGAGTTGGGCGAAAACTATAGAGGCCTGGCCCACGGGGAGGAGAGACCCCCAGAAAATTTTTAGGGGGGGGCTCACGACGTCGGGGCAGCAGGAGGCCGCGATAGAGCGGTCCAGCGGGTTGGCAGAGGAGGCCGCCATGTTAAGGGGGCCACTGGTCACTAAGGGGAAGGAAAGTGTGGAGGCACGGCGAGAGGTACTGGGGTGTGTTACCAGTCCGGTCCGGCCCGTTCCTGATCCCCGCGTAGGGCCAGGGGTGTGTGTCCCCAGTGCGGTCCGGTCTGTTCCTGTTCCTCGCATCGAGCCTGTGGTGCGCGTCGCCAGCCCGGTCCGGCCTGTTCCTGCTCCCCGCATCGAGCCTGTGGTACGCTTCGCCAGCCCGGTCCGGTCCGTTCCTGCTCCCCGCACCAAGTCAGTAGTGCGCTTCGTCAGCCCGGTCCGGCCCGTTCCTGCTCCCCGCACCAAGTCAGTAGTGCGCTTCGTCAGCCCGGTCCGGCCCGTTCCTGCTCCCCGCACCAAGTCAGTGGTGCGCTTCGTCAGTCCGGCACGGCCCGTGCCTGCTCCCCGCACCAAGCCTACGGTGTGCGTCGCCAGCCCGGCCCGGCCTGTTCCTGCCCCTCGCACCAAGCCTACGGTGCGCATCGCCAGCCCGGTAAGGCCCGTTGCTGCTCCACGCACCAAGCCTACGGTGCGCGTCGCCAGCCCGGCCCGGCCTGTTCCTGCCACTCGCACCAAGTCTACGGTGCGCGTCGCCAGCCCGGCCCGGCCTGTTCCTGCCACTCGCACCAAGTCTACGGTGCGAGTCGTCAGCCTGGTCCAGCCCGTGCCTGCCACTCGCACCAAGCCAGGGGTGCGAGTCGTCAGCCTGGTCCAGCCCGTTCCTGCCACTCGCACCAAGCCAGGGGTGCGAGTCGTCAGCCTGGTCCAGCCCGTTCCGGCCACTCGCACCAAGCCAGGGGTGCGAGTCGTCAGTCCAGTGAGGCCCGTTGCTGCTCCACGCACCAAGCCAGGGGTGCGTATCGTCAGCCAGGTCCGGTCCTTTCCTGCCTCACGCACCAAGCCAGGGGTGCGCGTCGTCTGTCCGGCACAACCCGTGCCTGGGTCACCGGTGCCTAACCAGGTACCGGTCAACGGCTCCACTACGGAGTTGAAGCTAACCGCTCCTGCTACGTCCAGTCCAGCTCTAGCCAGCGGGGCCAGACCGGACCAGGGGCGCTATGGGGGGTTTGTTGGAGGGTGGTGGGCAAGCCCGGAGCCAGAACCGCCGCCGAGGAGGTATGCCCACCCAGCCCTCCCCTGTTTTGCTCTTTTTGAGGCGCGGTCGCAGTCCGCGCCTTTAGGGGGGGGGTACTGTCACACCCTGGCTATGGGACTCTAGTTGTTGAGCCAGGGTGTGTTTGTTCTATGTGGTGTGTTTCTATGTTGGGGGTTCTAGTTCGTCTATTTCTATGTTTTGCCTGAGTGACTCCCAATCAGAGGCAACGAGTGTCAGCTGTTGGCTGGTTGTCTCTGATTGGGAGCCATATTTAAACTGTCTGTTTTCCCTTTGTGTTTGTGGGTTTTTGTTCCGTGTCGGTCTTTGTTACCGTGGACTTCACGAGTCGTTTCTTGTTTTGTTCGTGCTTTAATTAAATAAAGTAAACATGTTCGTTCAACACGCTGCGCATTGGTCTCTCCCTGACGATCGTGACAGGTCCGCTCAGGTCTAACTAGTGTTTTTAGACAGATTTCTTCCTACGGGTAATGTACGCCCAAGGGCAACTTGCTTAAACTCCCCTTTTCCCAGAAACACACAAAGTTACCAAACAGAGTAATCAGCAAATTAGTGAGTACACAATACACAGGATACCACAGTATCCATACTCACATACGGAAATAGTCTCTAACAAAATTACCAAACAGAGTAACCAAACTTAGTGAGTACACAATACACAGGATACCACAGTATCCATACTCACATACGGAAACAGTCTTTTCCCTACAAACACAACTGACTGGTTTTTATACAAAGGGATGTGTGATTGAAAAACCGGCAACAGGTGGTGCCATGCCGAGGAATGTTCACTGATTGGTCCACCTTAGCAATCAGCAGACATCTCAACGACCACCAATCAGGAACATACAGGACACCTGTGATTAGGGCAGAAGGAGAGGAAAAACACAGGATACCTGTATCCGTAACAATCAGGATCCTCATTAGTTGCTTCCAAGGCTGCAACTACTCTTCCTGGGGTCCAAACACAATAAGGCCCCTACATTACATATAAAACAAAATATAAAACATTACATCATATAACATTATCACACCACTACATATCTACAATACAAAATGTATAATACCACTATACAACAATATTACAATGTACGTGTGTGTAGAGTGTTTGTGCTACTGCTTGTGTGCGTATGCGCGTGTCTGTACCTTTGTGTGTGTTTCTTCACAGTCCCCGCTGTTCCATAAGGTGGACTTACCTGTTTTTTAAATCTGATTCTACTGCTTGTATCAGTTACCTGATGTGGAATAGAGTTCCACTTACAAAAACAAGTAGTGATTAATGAAAATGTATGCCTCCTGAGTGGCGCAGTGGTCTAAGGCACTGCATCGCAGTGCTAGCTGTGCCACTAGAGATCCTGGTTCGAATCCAGGCTCTGTCGTTGCCGGCCGCGACCGGGAGTGTAGGGGAGGGAATGGCCGGCAGGGATGTAGCTCAGTTGGTAGAGCATGCGTTTGCAACGCCAGGGTTGTGGGTTCGATTCCCACGGGGGGCCAGTATGAAAAATAATGTATGCACTCACTAACTGTAAGTCGCTCTGGATAAGAGCGTCTGCTAAATGACTAAAATGTAAAATGTAAGTACTGATATTGTATCATATAATAGCACTGAGAGATTTCCAAGAAAACACAAATTGGGACATTTATGATCTGTTTACATATATTTTAGAGGCTATTTATACAGAAAATGTGTATAAAACCCATATAAACTGTACTTCTAATTATATGACAATATTTTAGGTCGACAATAATTATTTTACACAATTTCTTCTATATCACATGCTTTACTTTTATTTTCCTGCATAAGTAAAATCAGGAAATGCATAACTGATGCCTCTACTGCCATTCATTCCAATTAGACTGGTTTGGATTTTTCCCTGCCATTTTCACCCTTCTGTAACTCTGAGGGTTTATGACATAGCCCCACTAGTAATTTAATAGGATCTCTATGAGCACTTTCACATATCCATTTATGATCCCGATCCTGGAGCGTTTGGTAACCTGATCCATGCTGCAAAGCATTTATGAAATGCAAATGAACCCTGCCTGAAACGAATCATGGACCTGCTTGAGTAGCGGGTCCAAGATCCAGGACCAGAGAGACCCTGTCCTACACCCTTATGTATGAATGTGTTATACGTAAATGTACAATAAGGTCGTTATTGTAACAATGTACCTGGCTGAATAAAGATTAAATAAATAAAATATTGAGCACACTGAATTGTGGAAAATCGCTGGAATGTTTGTGTTTGGCTGTGTGTATATCATAACACAAAAGGATGTTATACGTCATATCCCTGTTGGTGTGTGTGTTTAAATATGTTATTTATCTGCTTCTCAGGTGATAGTGGAGAAAGTGTCTGGCTCACAGATAGTGGACATCGACAAGAGAAAATACTTGGTCCCTTCTGACATTACAGTGGCCCAGTTCATGTGGATCATCAGGAAGCGCATCCAGCTGTCCTCGGAGAAAGCTATCTTTCTCTTTGTTGACAAAACTGTTCCCCAGTCCAGGTGAGATTAAATTGACTTAATTGGAGGAAGGGGTGTGGGCTGTGAGTAGTATTTCTTAAAACACTGATCTAAATGAGCCCTGAGTGCATTGTTTTTCACTCTGTCCCAATGATCTAACGTGTTATACAACCATCCACACTTTACTTTTTGTCTTCAAGAACTGTTGCATTCTTATACCAGCCTAGGTTTAATCCCACGTGGTCTGTATGTGCATTTGTTTGTGTGTCCATCTCTGTAACTAAAGACCAGGAACATTCCATTTCAGTCTCTGTTAAATCAATCTCCCTGTGAAAGAGTATAGCCATACCAATCTCCTTCACTTACACCAAATCTTGGTTAACCCAGAACTAAAATCTCATGTAATTTGATCAGACATTTATGTTACGTAGTCTGCCAACAAGAAATGACTTGCACGTAATCACACCTTCAAATCTACCCGAATCACAATCTCTCTAGCTGGGACTGATTGTTAGTACTATCTGTCAAAAACCTGTTAAATACATATACCTACTAATGCATTATGTGAGTAGACTGTTGGTAACACATGGTTACGGGGTTAGACTGAATAGGCCTTGAAATTAGATACTTTAAAACTCAGCATCCTTATGCAATTGTTTATATTTTCTAGACAATGCCATTCTGATGTAAGATTAACTTTTTGAACACATCACGGGTGACTCAGATGTCAGATGAGTTCCTGAATGTGTATTGTGTGTGGGGTATATATACAATGAGGGAAAAAAGTATTTGATCCCCTGCTGATTTTGTACGTTTGCCCACTGACAAAGACATGATCAGTCTATACTTTTAATGGTAGGTTTATTTGAACAGTGAGAGACAGAATAACAACAAAAAAATCCAGAAAAACGCATGTCAAAAATGTTATAAATTGATTTGCATTTTAATGAGGGAAATAAGTATTTGACCCCTCTGCAAAACATGACTTAGTACTTGGTGGCAAAACCCTTGTTGGCAATCACAGAGGTCAGACATTTCTTGTAGTTGGCCACCAGGTTTGCACACATCTCAGGAGGGATTTTGTTCCACTCCTCTTTGCAGATCTTCTCCAAGTCATTAAGGTTTCGAGGCTGACGTTTGGCAACTCGAACCTTCAGCTCCCTCCACAGATTTCCTATGGGATTAAGGTCTGGAGACTGGCTAGGCCACTCCAGGACCTTAATGTGCTCTTCTTGAGCCACTCCTTTGTTGCCTTGGCCGTGTGTTTTGGGTCATTGTCATGCTGGAATACCCATCCACAACCCATTTTCAATGCCCTGGCTGAGGGAAGGAGGTTCTCACCCAAGATTTGACGGTACATGTCCCCGTCCATCGTCCCTTTGATGCGGTGAAGTTGTCCTGTCCCCTTAGCAGAAAAACACCCCCAAAGCATAATGTTTCCACCTCCATGTTTGACGGTGGGGATGGTGTTCTTGGGGTCATAGGCAGCATTCCTCCTCCTCCAAACAAGGCGAGTTGAGTTGATGCCAAAGAGCTCGATTTTGGTCTCATCTGACCACAAAACTTTCACCCAGTTCTCCTCTGAATCATTCAGATGTTCATTGGCAAGTTCATTGGCAAACTTCAGACGGCCCTGTATATGTGCTTTCTTGAGCAGGGGGACCTTGCGGGCGCTGCAGGATTTCAGTCCTTCACGGCGTAGTGTGTTACCAATTGTTTTCTTGGTGACTATGGTCCCAGCTGCCTTGAGATCATTGACAAGATCCTTCCGTGTAGTTCTGGGCTGATTCCTCACCGGTCTCATGATCATTGCAACTCCACGAGGTGAGAACTTGCATGGAGCCCCAGGCCTAGGGAGATTGACAGTTATTTTGTGTTTCTTCCATTTGCAAATAATCGCACCAACTGTTGTCACCTTCTCACCAAGCTGCTTGCCGATAGTCTTGTAGCCCATTCCATCCTTGTGTAGGTCTACAATCTTGTCCCTGACATCCTTGGAGAGCTCTTTGGTCTTGGCCATGGTGGAGATTTTGGAATCTGATTGATTGATTGCTTCTGTGGACAGGTGTCTTTTATACAGGTAACAAACTGAGATTAGGAGCACTCCCTTTTTACCTGTATAAAAGACACCTGGGAGCCAGAAATCTTTCTGATTGAGAGGGGGTCAAATACTTATTTCCCTCCTTAAAATGCAAATCAATTTATAACATTTTTGACATGCGTTTTTCTGGATTTTTTTCTGGAGTCTCTCACTGTTCAAATAACTAGACTGATAATTTCTTTGTCAGTGGGCAAACGTACAAAATCAGCAGGGGATCAAATACTTTTTTCCCTCATTGTAGGAGGAACCTTGATTTTCAGCTTTCCCACGAGACTTGGAAGTATGGCAAAGCGAGACTAATAGAGGAGTGAATGTACAGTACCAGTCAACAAAAGTTTGGACACACCTACTCATTCTAGGGTTTTTCTTTATTTGTAAAATTTTCTACATTGTAGAATAATAGTGAAGACATCAAAACTATGAAATAACACATATGGAATCATGTAGTAACCAAAAAAGTGTTAAACAAATCCAAATATAACGACAGTCCATCATTAAGTTAAGACATGAAGGTCAGTCAATCTGGAAAATTTCAAGAACTTTGAAAGTTTCTTCAAGTGCAGTCGCAGAAACCATCAAGCGTTATGATGAAACTGGCTCTCACGAGGACCACCACAGGAAAGGAAGACCTAGAGTTACCTCTGCTGCAGAAGATAAGTTCATTAGAGTTAACAGCACCTCAGATTGCAGCCCAAATAAATGCTTCACAGAGTTCAAGTAACATGTCAACATCAACTCTTCAGAGGAGACTGCGTGAATCAGGCCTTCATGTTCGAATTGCTGCAAAGAAACCACTACTAAAGGACACCAATAATAAGAAGAGACTTGCTTGCACCAAGAAACACGAGCAATAGACATTAGACTGGTGGAATTCTGTCCTTTTGTCCGATGAGTCCAAATCTAAGATTTTTGGTTCCAACCGCCGTGTCTTTGTGAGACGCAGAGTAGGTGAACGGATGATCTCCACATGTGTGGTTCCCACCGTGAAGCATGGATGAGGAGGTGTGATGGTGTGGGGGTCCTTTGCTGGTGACACTGTCTGTGATTTATTTAGAATTCAAGGCACACTTAACCAGCATGGCTACCACAGCATTCTGCAGCGATACGCCATCCCATCTGGTTTGCGCTTAGTGGGACTATCATTTGTTTTTCAACAGGACAATGACCCAAAACACACCTCCATGCTATGTAAGGGCTATTTGACCAAGGAGAGTGATGGAGTGCTGCATCAGATGACCTGGCCTCCACAATCACCCGACCTCAACCCAATTGAGATGGTTTGGGATGAGTTGGACCGCAGAGTGAAGGAAAAGCAGCCAACAAGTGCTCAGCATATGTGGGAACTCCTTCAAGACTGTTGGAAAAGCATTCCTCATGAAGCTGGTTGAGAGAATGCCAAGAGTGTGCAAATCTGTCATCAAGGCAAAGGGTGGCTACTTTGAAGAATCTAAAATCTAAAATATATTTTGATTTGTTTAACACTTTTTTTGGTTACTACATGATTCCATATGTTTTATTTCATAGTTTTGATGTCTTTGCTATTATTCTACAATGTAGAAAATAGTCAACATAAATTCTACAATGTAGAAAATAGTCAACATAAAGAAAAACCCTTGAATGAGTAGGTGTGTCCAACATTTTTACTGGTACTGTATGTGCATGCATTTGTGTTCTGAGTTCGAACTGTGTCTGGTTGGAGGATGTATCTGTTTTAAATGTTTGTGTGTTCTGGAAAATGTATGTTCAAAATGTGAGCAATGTCTTTCTCTATCTTGCAGTCTGACAATGGGACAGCTATATGAGAAAGAGAGAGACGAGGATGGCTTTCTGTACATGGCGTACAGTGGCGAAAACACATTTGGTTTCTAGGCCTTCACACAACATTGAGTTGACACAACCCTTGCATCCTACTTGAACCAATCACCCCATTATTTCTTGCAGACAAGCTTGATTATATCACTATCATAATAAAGAAAGATGTGTGGAAGAAGTGTGTTAGAAACCTCAACATTAATCATGTTATGGATGCATTTGTATTACTAGTATCACTCATATCATATTATATTGAAACCATAAATTGTACATTTGATTACTTTTAGGTAAAGAAAACAAGCTGTTTGGGAATGTTGTTGCCTTATTATTAGCAGTTTAACATATTCATGTCAGCTATGATATACAGTAATAACGGTTTTGTTTTAATTTATCAATGTTATTTGATTTGTTTATTATCTTTAAAGATGATAAATACCAAGAATTTGAATAAATGAAAGGTAAGGTAGCTTGATGACCAATAAAACACATAAAATGTAACTTATTCTCTGTACTCATTCAAAACAACAATTTCATTTTTTCAACAGAGAAATATTCACGGATGCATATATAATTCTATACACATACAGGAACAAAGACTGTCACAAATACTGTATATAATGACTCAGATCTCATGAACATAGCTACTGTAAATATGCACAGATAACAAATGAGTTAGATCAACAGTGCAGGCCTTGTATCTCATCTACCACTTTTCCTCATTCCACTTTACCACATTCCTCAAAGCTCTCCATAGGCACATGAAACTAAAGACAAAGCAACCAAAAGGGCTAGTTCGGGACACTGACCATGTGAGCGCCAAGCTCCTTCTAAACTCAGGTCTTTGCATGTCCTGACAGAATTGGTCATTGCTTCCTTGGCACATCTACAAGTACAATAATGCTTCATGACAGGGAATGACTGTGTTCTTTCACCTGTGTTTGAATGTCCCTCTAAAATCACACAGCATTATGTACAAACCGGTCTCTCAGTCCCTTGTTGCTGTAAGCAACAAAGTCGTGCTGTGCTTAAGTGAAACAGCAGCAGGTTTAAGTCACTGCGGAGCCACAGTGGGAAGGCCTCTTAGCGCAGCTGCAGCCGGCCTACTGTTACAACAGAGCCGCCTGCTAGTAGTCCCAGTACATCTGGACCCAGCTAACAATTCTAAGGAGGGGGAACGTTTTTGTAATGTTACCCGTAATGTTCCCCTAATGTTTGAGGCTCCAGTTTTCCGTTAGTTAGGGGAACATTCTATCTATAGCTAGGTTTCCATCCAACTGGCGACAGATCTTCATGCAAAAATTCTAAAATACGCATAAAAACATTTTCCCACCAGAGATGTGTTTCCATCAAATTGACTTGTTGCAGATAAAAAGCTGTGCGTGATGACGTAGTGCATAGTGCATCAATGTCCCACCAAACATACATAGAATATGTTGGACATGTCCTCAGAATATAACATATTAATGTTCTAAACACATTTCATGAGAACGTTGCAAGAACATTTATGTGTCTAGTTATCTGTGGGGTTAGGCGAATGTTCCATCAACGTCCCACCAAACATGCGCAGAATATTGTTGCCATGTTTTCAGAATATAAGATATTAATGTTCTAGACACATTTCATGAAAGCATTGCAAGAACATTAGTGTCCAGTTTTCTGAGGGTTAGGAGAATATTCCTTCCATCAACGTCCCAACAAACATACACAGAACATGGTTGCCATGTTCTCAGAACGGTTAATCTGACTATTCTCATCATTGATTTGATTTACTTATTTCAGCAATTTAAGGGCTTTAAGTATAGTTGTCTAATGTTGGTGGGGCAGAATATTCCATCAACATCCCACCAAACATACACAGAACATATCCCAGGTGAAGACATGTTGAATAATAATTACTGTATAAATGAACATGCACAATGTAATCAACTAGGTCAAAGTGTGTCTAATATGTAAATTGAAAAACATGGTCCAGACTCTGATTGGTGAACCACTGATCCATTCATAGCTCTTTGTCTATTGGCAAGGTCAGGGATACTCACACACACACACACACACACACACACACACACACACACACACACACACACACACACACACACACACACTGCTTTTAGCATACAGGTTCGGCAAGAGTAACAAGGTGTGGTACGTAATGGAAAATATTTTATTGTATTAGTCATCTCAGGGATCCTTCTTGGAAACGTAACAGAGAAGCAATAGATCATGTTACCAGTTAATAAGACTGTGAAGGCTCAAATACATACACACGCACATACACACATTCCGCTGCTAATGTCGAAGACTCTCCACTCGAACTCAGACACAGGAAATGAAGCTGTGTTGGTGGGGCATGGAGGAATGAGGTGGATGTCCAGGCTGATGAGATGCAGGGTTTGAGCCTCAGAGACAGAAACACAAAGGACATGAATCGTAGGGATATGTTTCCACACCCTGGAAATAAATCCTTAATTTCCTCAGTAGTTTAAAAAGGGTTCATTCCATAAAAATAGAATGATTCATTCTCATTCGATGGTTTATTCACCACGTCACCTCCTGTCACCTCAGGTCTTGTGATTTAGAGGTTAATACATCATGGTAATGGTCACTGAGTTTCTGTATTTGTTGTTCTGTTTGTTTGTGTCTGTAGGGGAAAGGACCTTCCCAGCTAACAACAAATGTTCCCATAACTTTAGAGAATGTTCCATTAAGAGTCTCATTAGGTAATTAATTAACATTTTCATAGGAATGTTCCTGTGATGTGCAAGGAATATTTCCAAGAGACCATTCACTTAATGTCAAATAGAACTTACCCAGAACGTGGTTACCGTGTTCTCAGAATTTAAGATATTAATGTTCTAGACATGTTTCATGGGAATGTTGCAAGAACAGTCACGTGTCCAGTTTTCTGTGGGTTATGAGAATATTCCATCAATGTACCACCAAACATACACAGAACAGAGTTACCACGTTTTCAGAACATAAGATTTTCTTGTTCTAGACATGTTTCATGGGAACGTTGCAAGAACATTCATGTGTCCAGTTTTTTTTAGGGTTAGGAGAATATTCCATCAAAGTCCCACCAAACATACTGTACACAGAACATGGTTGCCATGTTCTCAGAACATAAGATATTAATGTTCTAGACACGTTTCATGGGAACCTTGCAGGAACATTTCTGTTTATCAGAAAGAAGAAACGTTCTCCCACCCAAAAAAATTGTTTCATTACACACACGCCTTGTTACTGTTCACCTGATTTGTGAAACACTGATCCACTCATAGTTTTTTGTTGGTTGGGATACTCACACACACACACACACACACACACACACACACACACACACACACACACACACACAAACACAGCTTTTAAAATAGTGTTTTCAATTTAAGTATTTGACAGACTTTGAAATACATGATTACGTTGTGCATGTTCTTTTATACAGTAATATTAATCAACAGTCCTCACCTGGGATTTGAACTCATAACCTCTTGGTTGCACAGTACACCAATATCCCTGCTTCACCACAATGTCCATGTCATGTATTGGTTAATCTGACTATTCTCATCATTGATTGGGTTTACTTATTTCAGCAATTTAAGGGCTTTAAGTATAGTTGTCTAATGTTGGTGGGGCAGAATATTCCATCAACATCCCACCAAACATACACAGAACATATCCCAGGTGAAGACATGTTGAATAACAATTACTGTATAAATGAACATGCACAATGTAATCAACTAGGTCAAAGTGTGTCTAATTGAAAAACATGGTCCAGACTCTGATTGGTGAACCACTGATCCATTCATAGCTCTTTGTCTATTGGCAAGGTCAGGGATACTCACACACACACACACACACACACACACACACACTGCTTTTAGCATACAGGTTCGGCAAGAGTAACAAGGTGTGGTACGTAATGGAAAATATTTTATTGTATTAGTCATCTCAGGGATCCTTCTTGGAAACGTAACAGAGAAGCAATAGATATGAAATCATAAAATGACACAAACTGTTTAGGACTTCACTAAATCCTTCATAATAACAACCCAAATGTTAAAAGAGACGGAGTTGTCTTTTAAGACTCAAAACTATCTCCTGCACACTATTGCCATTTATTTACGTCCTTTAGGAGTAAACCATTCTCTGTCCCATTGGAGTGCAGTTACATTTAATTGTCTAGGGGAGCAGTATGCCCAATGAGTGCATTCCATTTTTTTGAAAGGATCATGTTACCAGTTAATAAGACTGTGAAGGCTCAAATACATACACACGCACATACACACATTCCGCTGCTAATGTCGAAGACTCTCCACTCGAACTCAGACACAGGAAATGAAGCTGTGTTGGCGGGGCATGGAGGAATGAGGTGGATGTCCAGGCTGATGAGATCCAGGGTCTGGGCCTCAGAGACAGAAACACAAAGGACATGAATCGTAGGGACATGTTTCCACACCCTGGAAATATATCCTTAATTTCCTCAGTTGTTTAAAAAGGGTTAATTCCATAAAAATAGAATGATTCATTCTCATTCGATGGTTTATTCACCACGTCACCTCCTGTCACCTCAGGTCTTGTGATTTAGAGGTAAATACTTCATGGTAACGGACACTGAGTTTCTGTATTTGTTGTTCTGTTTGTTTGTGTCTGTAGGTGAAAGGACCTCCCCAGCTAACAACAAATGTTCCCATAACTTTAGAGAATGTTCCCTTAAGAGTCTCATTAGGTCATTAACTAACATTTTCATAGAAATGTTCCCGTGATGTGCAAGGAATGTTTCCAAGAGACCATTCCCTTAATGTCAAATAGAACTTACCCAGAACATGGTTACCATGTTCTCAGAATGTAAGATATTAATGTTCTAGACAAGTTTCATGGAAATGTTGCAAGAACAGTCATGTGTCCAGTTTTCTGTGGGTTAGGAGAATATTCCATCAAAGTCCCACCAAACATACTGTACATAGAACATGGTTGCCATGTTCTCAAAACATAAGATATTAATGTTCTAGACACGTTTCATGGGAACCTTGCAGGAACATTTCTGTGTATCAGAA